GTCGAATGATGAAAATCATTAAAATATTTTTCTTCCCTCTTAGTAACATGGACGCTTCCAATATGTACACCATTGATCTCATCGCTGAAATCGACGATATATTGCAAAGTGGAGATCGTACCACTAGGTCGAAAAACCGCACAACTTCGGAAGTTTTGGATGAGTTGGTTCGTCCAATAGCTGCGGTTAAAATAACTGACTTTGAGACGGAATCCGTAACTGCGGGTTCCAGCATACCCCCAATCACCATCGATACATTATCCGAATCCGTAACTGCGGGTTCGAATCGTGTGCAACCACCGGAATCCGTAACTGCGGGTTCTTCGGCACCAATCGTGGAAAACTCAAAACCCAGATCTGATCCCATAGCTGTGGGTGACTCGGTCGTGGTTCCACCATCGGAGTCCGTATCTGCGGGCTCCTCGAATTTAAATAGAAATTGTCGCGTTTGCAATCGCCGGCACTCGATTGGTACGTGCCGCGATTTTCTTGCGATGTCTGTCGAAGCGCGCATACACATCATAACTGTCAACCGGGACTGTACACGCTGCCTAGCCAAATGGCATCAAGCCAAAGAATGCCACAGTCAAAAAACGTGTGTCAAATGCGGAGGAAGGCACAATACCCTTTTGCATTTGGAGTCTGTGGATCAAGGGAACGTTACTAAAATGTCCGTCCGTTCTCGTCAAAACATAAGGTCTCGTCCGTATCCTAGTCCTATGTCAGGTCCGAGATTGAGATCCGATTCAACATCGTCCGTTGATAATCGCCATGTTGCCAATTTTGTTGGAAATTCTCTCGGGTCATTACCCTTGCAACAGGTATCGACAATATCCCCCAGTCTTATCGTAAGACTTCAGCATGTCGGACCCTCGATTCCAATTCGTGCAGTATTGGATCCTTGTGGTAGGCAAAGCCTAATATGTGCCTCAATGGTGTCTGACCTGAGGCTTCCCACATCCAATTTAGATGGGATCCGGTTCTGTCGCATTTCGGTGGCATCTACCTACGACCCATCTCAAACCCTCTCAGTCATGGCTCGGGTAACAGATTTGCGACATGTCGTTACTCCGTTGGAAGCCATCCCCGAACGCACAAAAGAGTCATTCCTTGGGCTACCGCTGGCAGACCCATGCTTTTTTAGGCCAGGCCGCGTGGCATTAGTATTTGGTCCTGAAATGTATGCCAAAATCGTCACCAATCGGGTGCAAGCGATGCCGGGGCTTCCTGTAGCCCACTATACTATGTTTGGTTGGGTACTCTCTGGAGTATGCCACACCTAGTTCTTAGATATTAAATGCTCGTATTTAATTGGAAAAAAATAAATGAAATTATTATGAATTGCTCACAAAACTGCACTGTCCTACTCTATCTTATTTGTACTTATAAATTAAGTTATATATATTGTATAATTTGGAGTGTTACAACATTAATAATGTTGCAAGGGGGTCGCCAATGTTTAATTTAGAAAATCTATTGATTTCATTCTCTTGGGCGTTTACACTTTTATTGTGTTTCAAAACGCATTGAATTCCATATTCGTTACAATCTTCATACTCCGTAATATTACAACATTGAAATGTCAAATGACAGATTCTAACGAGTATGGAATTAGCGCCGACGCCACCTTCCATTATTATTGTTGACACTCAAACACTCTCTTTTCGTTGGCCTACCAATCAACAGGTAATCTGTCAAAATCTCTAAACTTTTCCACTCTTCTATTTTTTTATCAATAAAGCAACTGCCTTTATTTTAATTTAAATCTAAAAACGTTCGTGTTTTTATTTCTTATTTTTTGCACGCAATTTCGGCGTCATTTAAAAATATTTATATCCAACATCCCTATTAAATTTCCAAACTATTATCAATTCAAGTTCCTCATGTTCCCATGAACCACATACATACATATATACACAAATATTTGCATATGCACACACATGCACAAATCTCCATAAAACATATTTTGGTTGTGATGGTAGTGGCTTATCAATTTTTGACTTTATTTGATTGTGTTTATTTAGTTTAGAAGAAGAAGAAGAAGTTGGCTAGATTTATTCGGGAATATTTGCCAGCCCCAACAATTTTGTGTATTTGTGCAGCATCAGTTGCTGCAGTGGATGCCAAGCCAAGCAGACAGGGAGAGCAGAGACAATATTTGCATCATGCAGTAGTTGTTGATTATTGGCAAAAAAAAAAGAGAAATCCCTTGGCTGGGTATTTATGCAGAACTTCAAATTTTATTTGCAAAAGTTTTGTTGTAGTTGTTTACAAGACCTGTAATTTATGGCTGGAAGATTAAACTTCAGTTCATCTTTTTAAAAGAAGGGAGGTAGGAAGGAAGTGAGAAAGATGTATGCGTTCTGTTTTAAACTTAACTTTAAACTTCGAATATGTTTTATTGTTGGTTTGCCAATATCATCTCTCGTCCTGATCCACATGCCTGGGTACTTCATCTCAATTCTTGATCTAACCAAATAAAAACTGAAAAATTTATTTACAAAGTATTTAAATTAAAAACGGAGAGCAGGATACACCTTCTATATAAATATGGTAATTTTGTGGTTAGAAAGAGTAGAGAGGATGGGGAACAAATACACACAGAGAGAAATAATAGGTGGGGATTTTTTATACCCTACACAACAATGTTGTCAGGGTATTATAGCTTTGTGCAGCCCCAAAAGTTTGTAACGCCGCGAAATATTGGTCCTAGACCCAGCCGAGTCGATCTAGACATGTGTGTCCGTCCGTCCGTCTGTCCATTATAATTTGTAAACACGATACAGACCACAATTATTGACCAATCTTCACGAAATTTTGCACGTAGGATAGGTTCTGGCCAATGAAGACGCCTATTGTTTCTGGTAAAGATCGGTTAATATTTAGGGGATGAAATGGACCAAATACTTAATTTTTGTCCGTTTTACGGGTTGCTCCAGAGGCCGCAATTATGGACCGAAATTTTACATGGAGGAAGGGATCGGGCTTAAGAATAAGCATGCCTGTTTTGATAAAGATTGGTCAATATTTAGCTGGTCCAATGGACCCCGACTTTTGTGTGAAAAAAATACAAAATTTGTATTCTGTGGCGTATATATTTGCCCCTGAAGGGCATAGACCCGAGATGCCGTACAGATGTGGGAGTTGCACTTAAATATTTACAGGTGCTTACGTATTCAGATATTATTTTGTAACACATTACCACACTAGAGGGCGGATCGCTTTGAAATTTTCCATGAGGATCCAGGTATGGTCAAGGATAACGCCTATCATTTTCGATAATGATCAGATAATAATTTTGGCATGAAGTGGACGGAAAACTTAATTTTTGTTTTTTTTTTCGAGTCGATCTATAGCCAAAAAAAGCTGAACATCACAAAACAACTCACGGTGAAGTTAATCTACACGATTAATTAGAAGGGCTGTACTGAATATTAGTAATATTTATTGACCTCTAGACGGTCAAGAGGGTGCAAATATCGCGAAATATTGCCCAGGCTCCGAGGAAGTTGTGTAGGGTATCATATGGTAGGCCCCGTCAAACTATACTGCTCCGCTCACTGGTTTAAAAATAAATTTTTCGGTGACTATCCTCAGGCATGGCTTTTTATACCCTTCACCACACTGTGGTACAGGGTATATATGTTTGTAACAGGCAAAAGGAAACGAGATAGACACATGGTTCGTTTTGAGTATATGCATAGAATCACATTCTGAATCGATTTATGTATGTCCGTCCGTCCGTCCGTCCGTCCGTCTGTCTGTCCATGTTAAATTGTAAACAAAGTATAGGTCGCTTTTATTATTCGACTTGGATGAAATTTGGCACAGCTCATTTATTTCGCCCAAGGACGAACGCAATTGAAATTGGGAAAAATCGGTTCAGATTTAGATATAGCTCCCATATATATTTTCGTTCGATTTAATGTAAATGGTCCACCAAAGTCCCTATGTATCTTTCGATTTGCACGAAATTTGGTACAGCATACTGAATTGAGTCCAGAATGATGTGTGATAAGTTTCTTGAAAATCCGTTCAGATTTAGATATAGCTCCCATATATAGGTTCGCCCGATTTTAGGAAAATGGTGCACCAAAGTCCCTGAAAATCATTCGATTTGCACGAATTTCGTACTGAATTAAGTCTAAAATGACGTCTGCTAAGTTTCGTGAAAATCGGTTTAGATTTAGATATAGCTCCCATATATATTTTTGTCCGATTTAAGGTGTATGGTGTACCAAAGCCCCTATATATCTTTTGATTTGCACGAAATGTGGCACATCGTAATGAATTAGGTCTAGAATGAAGTGTGTTAAGTTTCGTGAAAATCGGATCAGATTAAGATATAGCTCTCATATACATTTTCCTCCGATTTAATGTAAAAAGTGCACCAAAGTCCCTATATATCTTTCGATTTGCACGAAATTTGGCCTAACGTACTGAAATGATCCTAGAATGATGTCTGCTAAGTTTCAAGAAAATCGGTCCAGATTTAGATATAGTTCCCATATATAGTTTCGCCCGATTTCATGTAAATGGTTCACCAAAGTCCCTATTTATCTTCGATTTGCACGAAATTTGGCATAACGTACTGAATTGAGTCTATATTGATGTGTTTTAAATTTCGTTAAAATCGGTTCAGATTTAGATATACCTTCCATATATATATATTCCTCCGACCTACTGTCCAAAAAAAAATTGATATATATTTTTTTTAAATCCACGTGGAAAAGTATTTTTATACCAATTTTTTTTTTATTTTTTTTTTTTGAGTTGGTCATCTGGCAACTCTTGTCCCTGGCCAATGATCACAAAAATTTGAAATACTGCCTCAGTTCTGCAGCAACCATCAACGCGAACAAGTCTAAACGGCTGGGCTATAAATAAAAACGAAAAAATATTTCAAGTGATCTGTATTTCAGTTTTCGAAATTAAAAACTAAATTGTGTGAACAACAAAAAAAATAAATAACAACCACAACAACAACGACAGCAAATAAAATGCCCAATAAGAAAAATGTAATTAGAAAGGAAATTATGAATTAAAATTTAATGGCTAAAAGGAAATTTATCAAAAAAAAAAAAAAAAAAAATTGAATGAAAAAAAAATAAATATTGAAAAAAATATTCAAAATTAAAAAATATATAACAAAAATAATTATAAATTAAATATAGAAAAAAAATAAATAAAAAAGAGAGTGAACATCCCTGTCCAGTGTATTTGATCTTGTGAACAAAATGTGGATAATTTGAAAATGCATTTTCTTTCATTGCGTGAATTTTCCTTAACTCATTCGCGGTGTGGGAGTAGGCCTCCTCGACGTGACTCTCACTCAGTGTCTCAGTGGCTGTGTGTTCATTGTGTTCTACTCTTGTGTATAGTTTATTTTTAAACAAAAGACACAACCTAATGATACGCAACGGCGGCCACCACACACCCCCATAGATACACGCTTGCATACAGCTACACCAACCCCCGCCCCATTTCCCCCCACTTTCCTACCACAAGCATCAACACAAAAATTTTTGAAAATACCCATTTGTTCATATTTATGTTTGGATTAGTTTGTGAACAAATTTGAAATAATTTTTGGTTTCATTTTTCGTTGCCAAAAACAACAACAACTACATGGGTGGACACACATGTTTGAAAAAATATGAAAATAAAAAAAAAATAAATATGATTTTTATTAAAAAAAATTCTACAAGACATGGATTTTATTTTTATTTTTATCATTATTTTTTTTTTTTTCCACATCTAGACAAGGCGTGGATTAAAATTTTTTTTCAAGGTCTAGGTTAAAAAAAAAATATTTTTTCAAGGTCTAATTTAAAAAAAAAATATTTTTTCAAGGTCTAGGTTTTTTAAAAAAAATATTTTTTCTAGGTCTAATTTTTTAAAAAAAATATTTTTTCAAGGTCTAATTTAAAAAAAAAATATTTTTTCAAGGTCCAAATTTGTCAAAAAATATTTTTGCAAGGTCTGGATTTTTTAAAAAATATTTTTTAAGGTCTAAATTTTTCAAAAAAATCTTTTTTCACGGTCTGGATTTTTTAAAAATTATTTTTTAATGTTTGCTGAATTTCGTTTATAGTGAGAATTATGCAGCTGAATTGATATATTCGCTAGAAATACTTAGCTGAATTATGTTTTTCTTATCAAAAATTTAGCTGAATTCAGTATATCTTCCGAAAAACGTAGCTGAATTAAGTTGTATGTAATTAAAATGTAGCTGAATTATGTTTTTCATAAGAAACACTAAGCTGTATTGAAATTACCATTATAAAACCATAGCTGAATTGAGTTTTTCGTACGCTAAATGCAGCTGAATTGTGTTTCTCATAGAAAATACTCATCTGTATTGAAATGTCCATAAGAAAATCTTATCTGAATTAATTTGCCCCATGAAAAAATTCGACTAAATTGATGTTTTTAAAAGAAAATCTGTGCTGAATTATGTTTTTCTTAATAAATCCATTGCTGATTTGAGTTGTTCGTATGTTTTTCATAAGAAACACTAAGCTGTATTGAAATTACCATTATAAAACCATAGCTGAATTGAGTTTTTCGTGCGCTAAATGCAGCTGAATTGTGTTTCTCATAGAAAATACTCATCTGTATTGAAATGTTCATAAGAAAATCTTAGCTGAATTAATTTGCCCCATGAAAAAATTCGACTAAATTGATGTTTTTAAAAGAAAAGCTTGCTGAATTATGATTTTTCTTAATAAATCCATTGCTGATTTGAGTTGTTCGTACGTTAAATTTAGCTAAATTGTGTTTTTCATACGAAACACTTAGCTGAATTGAATTTTCCATAATAAAACATTTGCTGAATTATATTTTTCTTAAGAAAACATTAGTTTATCTTAGGTTTTTATAAGAAAATTGCAGCTGAATTGAAATTTTCATAAGAAAACCTTAGCTGAATTCAGTTTTTCTTAAGAAAATATTAATTGATCTGAGGTTTTTATAATGAAAATGCTGAGTTTTTCTTAATAAAAGCTTAGCTGAATTAAGTTTTTCGTAAGTTAAATCTAGCTGAATTGCGTTTTTCATAAGAACTACTGGGCTGAATTCAAATTTTCGTAAGCAATTTCTAGCTGAATTAAATTTTTCCTAAGAAAATATTAATTGATCTGAGGTTTTTATAATGAAAATGCTGCTGAATTGAGGTTTTCTTAAGAAAACCATAGCTGAATTAAGTTTTTCGTAAGTCAAATGTAGCTGAATTGCATTGCATTTTTCATAAGAAAAACTTGTCTGAATTGAAGTTTTCCTAATGAAAATATTAGTTTATCTTAGTTTTTTATAAGAAAATTGCAGCTGAATTGTATTTTTCGTTAGAAAGCTAATGTTTTATAGTTTTTCGTAAGTCAAATGTAGCTGAATTGTGTATTTCATAAGAAAGACTTAGCTGAATTGAAATTCTCATAATAAAACCTTACCTGGATTAGGATTTTCTTAAGAAAATGTTAGTTTATCTTAGGTTTTTCTAAGAAAAATTAAGCTGAATTGGATTTTTCTTTGGAAAACTAAATGTAGCTGAATTGTGTTTTCTTAAGGAATAATCAGCGGAATTTAAATTTTCATAAGAAAACCTTAGCTAAATTAAGGTTTTCACAAGAAAACTGTAGCTGAATTGAGTTATTCATAATTAAAACTTAGCTGAATTAAGTGTTTCATAATCAAATTTAGATAAAATCTATCTTTCCTCTATAGAAACATAGCTGAATTAAGATTTTCATAAGAAACATCCAGCTGCATTGAAGTTTTCATATGAAAAAATCAGCTGAATTGAGGTTTTCATAAGAAAAATGCAGCTGAATTGAGGTTTTCATAAGAAAATGCAGCTAAATTGTTCCTATCATAAAAAATAATCCGCTAAATTGAGTTTTTCATAAGAAAACCCAAATCAAATTAGGTTCTTCATTAAAAAAAATTAGCTGAATCATGTAAGCATTATTAAAACTTAGCTGAACTAAGCTTTACTTAATAAAAACTCAGTTAAATTAAGTTTTTCACAAGAAAAATTTAGTTGAATTGAATTTTCATAAGAAAAATTTAGCTGGATTGAATGTTTTCCATAGGAAATTATGTTTTCTATCTAATTATCCTCTCTAACTGTTGAAACTTTGCTGAATTTTATGTTTTGCTCAAGAAAAACTTTGCCAAATTAGATTCTTCATTAGGAAAATGTAGCTGAATTGAGTTATCCGAAATTAAAACTTAGCTGAATTAGGTTTTACATAATAAAAATTTAAATTAAGTTTTTCACAAGAAAAATTTAGCTGAATTGAGATTTTCGTAAGAAAAATTAGCTGAATTAAATTTTTCGTAATAAAAACTCAACTAAATAGAGATTGTTATAAGAAAAATTAAGCTGAATTGAGATTTTCATAAGAAAAACTTAGCTGAATTGAGTTTTTTTCTAAAGGAAAGTATCTTTTCTAACAAAATACCTTTTTTTAATAAAATTTTGCTGAATTATGTGTCTTGCTTAAATGTCGTTGTCAAATTGTTGTTAATTGCAACAATTTAAATTCCAATAAATTTCCTCTGGGTCATGCAGGCATCTTCATTTTCTCATTTTTTTCTGGCAAATGTATTTCTAGCATTTCCCTCTCCTCCTCCCCAATCAATTAGCAGAAAGACCCACAGTCACTACTAACCAAACCGCCAATCAACGTCAAAGCAAAGCAATGCCTCCTCACAAATGGAAAACCAAATCGAAGGAAGGAAAAACTATTGAAAATGCGCGTGCCAAATGCCTATAAATAGCCCAGCATTTTCGGTTCGGCATCGGTGTCTGTGCGTGCTTTGCAACCGCAATTTACGAAAATAATTAGCGTGGCAAGGCAAGGCGTGCAACACTGTCACCGGCCCCTTGCGCCTTGTTAGGGTAGTAGTAGGGCAAATTGAGTTGTTGAACATTTCCAACAACATCACCACCAACAACAACAACACGTCGAACGACAAGATTTATCTTTTGAAGACTGCCAGCCAATAACATGTGTTGACTAGTGTTGTCGTGGTGACTGACTGCCTGACGCTGAGGAGTAATAGTTGTTGTAGTCGTCGTTACATTTAACAGAACTGGGACATGATAGACAAGGAATCTGACACCTGTTGCCCGCCGATGTTGTGTTGTGGCTGGCATTTTATGCCGGTTTGCCAGCCAACAACTCATTAAATGAGATTTTAATAGCTGCTGCAACAACAACAAAGACCGCAACAGCTATGCTGAAGACAAGTAGGCAAACCGTAACTAAATAAGCCACACACAACAAAAACAACAACTTGGCCAACTTTTACGCCCAATACATTGTAATTAAATTGAAATTGTTTTTTTGGGGGTGGGAGGATGAGGTTGGTGGTGAGGAAGGTTAGCAGCAGTTTTTTTTCTGTTTCGCAAATATAATATTTTTGTTTTAATTATTATCAAGGAAAATTATTATCAAGAAAAATTATATTCAGTGGGTATTTGTAAGAAGGTTAAATTAAAATTATTTTTTGTTAATACAAAATATATAAATCAACCGATTTTTTAAGGAACCTCCAATTCAGCAAAGGTTTTCGTAAGAAAAACTAAATTCAGCAAAGATTTTTGTAAGAAAAACTCAATTCAGCAAAGGTTTTCATACAGAAAACTATATTCAGCTGAATTTTTCTTAAGAAAAATCCAATTCAGCAAAGGTTTTCATACAGATAACTATATTTAGGTGACATTTTTTTAAGGGAAACTTAATTCAGCTAACGTTTTCATAAGAAAAACTCAATTCAGCTGAATTTTCCATAAAGAAAACTCAATTCAGCAAAGATTTTCTTAGGAAAATCACAATTCAACAAAGGTTTTCATAAAGAAAACTATCTTCAGCTGAAATTTTCTTAAGGGAAACTTAATTTAGCTAAGTTTTTCATAAGAAAAACTCAATTCAGCTGAATTTTTCATAAGAAAATCTCAATTCAGCAAAGATGTTCCTAAGAAAAACTCAATTCAGCAAAGGTTTTCTTACATAATACTATATTCAGCTGAAATTTTCGTAAGGGAAACTTAATTCAGAGTAGAATTCAAAGAATTCATTTCGGCTGAATATTTTTTCACGAAAAACTCAATTCAGTTACATATTCCTTATGAATAACTTAATTTACCGAATAATTACCTGCAAAAACAAAACATAGCCAAACTTTTCTTGTTTAAATACAAACACATCGGAATATTTTCCCGAAAAACTCAATTCAGCTGAATTTTTCTTAAGAAAAATTTAATTCAGCTAAGAATTTCCTTAAGAAACCAAAAATATATTTAAATTTTCTTACAAATATCCTCAGAATAAAAAAAAATCTTATGGAAAACTTAATTTTGCTATGTTTTTCACATGAAAATTTCAATTCAGCTAAGTGTTTCTTGTTGAAAACACAATTCAGCTGATTTTTCCTTAAGAAAATCTCAATTAAACAGATTTTTCTTAAAATAACCTGAATTCATTTGCATGTTTCTTATGAAAACAATAATTCAGCTAAGGTTTTCTAATGAAATCTACAATTCAGCTAAGTGTACCTTGTTGAAAACACAATTCAGCTGATTTTTTCTTAAGAAAATCTTAATTAAATGGATTTTTTCTTATAATAACCTGAATTCAGCTTCATTTTTCTTATGAAATCCATAATTCAGCTAAGGTTTTCCTATGAAAACAACAATTCAGCTAAGGTTTTCTTATGAAATCTACAATTCAGCTAAGTGATTCTTATCGAAAACGCAATTCAGCTTCATTTTTCTAAAAGATACCCAATGTTAAGCTGATTTTTCTTAAGAAAACCTGAATTCAGCTACGTTTTTCTTATAAAAACCATAATTCAACTAAGGTTTTCGTATGAAAACTGCCATACAGAATAGTTCTAATTGTAAAAACCTCAATTCAGCTAAGGTTTTCTTATGAAAACTTCAATTCAGCTGAGTTTTAATTGTAAAAATCTCAATTCAGCTTTTGTTTCTTAAGAAAAACTTACATTTGGTGAATTTTTCTAATAGAAACCTCAGATTAAATAACAATTTTTAAGATAACTATAATTCAGCAAAGGGTTTCTAAAGAAAAACTCAAATTTCTTATGAAAAACTTAATTCAGCTAAGGTTTTATTATGAAAATTTCAATTCAGCTGAGTATTTCTTATGAAAAACATAATTCAGCTACTGTTTATTTTCGTAGAACTTAATTTTGCTACCGTTTCGGAAGAGAAACATAATTCAGCTCACCTTTTCTTACAAAAAATAAAATTCAGCTGAATTTTTCTTACGAAAAAATTAATTCAGATGAGGTTTTCGCGAATATATCAATTCAGCTGCATATTCATCACTATAAACTTAATTCAGTGGACGTCTTCTTTACAAAAAGTTCAATTCAGCTACATTTTTCTTATGAAAGCCTTAATTCAGCAAAGGTTTTCTAAAGAAAATCAAAATTTTGTGGAACTTTTATAATAAAAACGTCTGATCAATTAATAATTTTTCAAAAAACTTAATTCAGCTAAGGTTTTATTATGGAAACTTCAATTCAGCATAGTATTTCTTATGAAAAGCACAATTCAGCTAAATTTAGAGTACGAAAAACTCAATTCAGCTATGGATTTATTAAGAAAAACACAATTCAGCACACATTTTCTTATAAAAACAACAATTCAGCTAAATTTTTCGTAGGGTAACTTAATTCAGCTAAAGTTTTATTATGACAATTTAATTTCAGCAGAGAATTTTCTATGAAAAACTCAATTCAGCTACATTTTAATTGTGTAAATCCTAATTCAGCTACGTTTTTCGGAAGAAAAACTGAAGTCAGCTAAATTTTTCGTTAAGGGAATTTAATTCAGCTAAGTATTTCTCGCGAATATATCAATTCAGCTGCATATTTCTCATTATAAACGTAATTCAGGAAACTTCAAAAATAATTTTTAAAAAAATCAAACCTTGAAAAAATATTTTTTCAAATTTTGTAAACTTTGAAAAAATATATATTTTTTAAAATTCAGACCCTAAAAATATATTTTTTGAAAAAATTCAGAGTTTGAAAAAAATTTAAAAATTCTGACATTGAAAAAATATTTTTTAAAAAAATCAGAACTTGAAAAAATATTTTTTAAAAATTCCACTCTTTGATGGGAGTAATCAAAAATATTTTTTACAAAATTCAGACCTTAAAAAATATTTTTTTAAATTTTGTAAACTTTGAAAAAATATATTCTTTTTAAATTCAGACCCTAAAAATATATTTTTTGAAAAAATTCAGACTTTGAAAAAAAATTTAAAAAATTCTGACATTGAAAAAATATTTTTTAAAAAATTCAGAAATTAAAAAAATATTGTTTAAAAATACCACGCCTTGATGGGAGTATTGAAAAATATTTTTAAAAAGTCCACGCCTTTTAAAAATGCGGAAAAATAAATATATTAAATTCAGACTTTGAAAAAAATTAAAAAAATCTGACCTTGAAAAAATATTTTAAAAAAAATTCAGAATTTAAAAATACCACGCCTTGATACTTTACTTACTTAGCTGGCTTGTTACAGAACGGTTGTTCCATAAGCCGAGCTTAAAAAAGATTTCCAAGCGCGTCGGTCTTGTGCGCAAGTCCACCAATTTGGAAGACCACGTTCCAAGATGCTGTTTTCTACTTGGTCTTTCCATCTAATTCGTGGCCTTCCCCTTCTACGGGAACCATCAGTAGGCTCATTTTTATATGCCTTTTGAGCTGGGGCAACTTCATTCATCCGCACAACATGGCCTAGCCACCGTAGTCGCTGCAGCTCAATACGACTGACTATGTCGATCTCCGTGTATAAATTGTAGAGCTCATGGTTCATTCGACGCCGATATTCACCGTCGACGCAGATCGGCCCGTAGATCTTTCGGAGAATTTTTCTCTTAAACACCCCAAGCGCTGCCTCATCTGCTTGCGCAAGTACCCATGCTTCTGATCCATATAATAGCACGGGTAGTATCCACAGTTGGTCCTAGTCTTCTGGACGTCGTGCGCGTTGATACCATCTTGGCTTGGTCTTCTCGCCGTTTACTGCCAGACCCACTTTGGCAGACTCCTTTTCAATTTGTTCAAAGGTGGCTGTTACCGCTCGCAATGTTCGACCCATTATATCGATGTCATCGGCGTAGGCGAGTAACTGATGTTGTTTGGTGTACAGAGTGCCATTTCTGTTCAACTTTGCGTCTCGTATGACCTTTTCCAGTAGGATGTTAAAAAGATCACACGACAAACTGTCACCTTGTCTGAAGCCTCGTTCGGTATTGAAGGGCTCAGATAGATCCTTTCCGACTTTAATTGCTGACTTGTGTCACTTAAAGCTATCCGGCATAGCCGTATTAATTTTGCAGGAATGCCGAACGTGGATATGGCATTAAACACCTCTGAACGGATAGGGCTGTCGAATGCGGCTTTATAGTCGATAAATAGGTGGTATGTGTCGATGTGTTTTTCGTGGGTCTTTTCCAGGATTTGGCGCAGAGTGAAAATCTGGTCAATGGTGGATTTGCTAGGTCTGAAGCCGCATTGGTATGGTCCGATGATGTCATTGACCATTGGCTTCAATCGTTCACACAGCACACTGGATAGCACTTTATATGCGATGGGAAGGAGACTTATTCCTCTATAGTTGGCACATATCGTCTTGTCTCCTTTTTTGTGCACGGGACACAGGATGCTGAGGTTCCAATCATTGGGCATGCATTCATCTAGCCAAATTGTGTTAATCAGCTGGTGCATGCTCCTGACCAGCATCTGGCCACCAGTCTTGAATATTTCGGCTTGTAACCCATCGGCTCCTGCTGCTTTGTTTTTCTTGAGCCGATTAATTGCTTTTATGACCTCATCTTGGCTAGGTGGTATACACTCTATACCATCATCTCTTATTGGTTCTGGGGTATCTTCTTCATCGCCACTATTTGATACTAGTAGCTTTTCGAGGTGCTCCTTCCAGATCCTCAACACGCTGTCTGTATCTGTCACCAGGTTTCCTTCTTCATCTCTACAGGAGGATGTGCCTGCACCAAAGCCTTCGGTTTGGTGTTTTACTCGTTGTAAAATTTCCGGACTTCATTCTGACTCCTGTACATCTCGATTTGCTCACGCTCACGTTTTTCTTGTTCTTTCTTCTTTTTTCTGAAAACACGTTTCTCCTCTCTCCTTTTCTCCCGATAATTCTCCATCACGTTACGTGTTGCTACTGTCTGCAGGGTTGCCCTATACGCTGCGTTTTTCACATCAGTAGCATTACGACACTCCTGATCGTACCATGGGTTTCTTGGTGGTGGTTTTTGGTACCCAATTGTTCTTGATTTGACCACGCCTTGATGGGAGTATTGAAAAATATTTTTAAAAAGTCCACGCCTTTTATAAATGCGGAAAAATATTTGTGAAAAAATCCACGCCTTGTAAAAATGTGGAAAAATATTTTCGAAAAAATCCACGCCTTGTAAAAATGTGGAAAATATTTTTTTTAAATCCACGCTTAACATATCCTTAAAATTAAAAAAAATATTTTTTTTTAAAATATTTTTTTTATTTTTTTTTTCAGAAAAACAAGAAGAAGCATCACCATAACTACAACCGACCAGAGTCACATTACCCAGTGGAGAAAGACCCATTAGAAGAACAATTGCAAAATTTACAAATCTCAGAAAATGGTTCCGGACCGACTAAGCCTTATCGGATCGAGGTATCAGAAATTGTTGGTCGTTATTTGGTGGCTAATCGAAATCTAAAGCCAGGAGAAATTTTAATTAAAGAAAAAGCCTTGGCTATTGGACCCTGTGTATCTGCGGACCCGGTGTGTTTGGGTTGTTATATGCCGGTGACGCTGAAGGCGACACAATATAGGTGAGGCGGAAGGGAGGATTTTCGAAAAAAAATCGAATTTTTAATTTGTTGTCTTCTGATCTTTTTTAGATGTTCCTCCTGCAATTGGCCCATGTGTGGCCCCCACTGTCGAGGCCTTCACAAAGAAACAGGCCACACAGCTGAAGAATGTGATCTCTTCCGTCGCGAAAATACAGCCACACCCCTTACCCCCACAGCCTCTCCGGTCCGGGTGAAAAATCTCTATGAATTGGTAATGGTGGTCAGGATTCTCCTAAAGAAACAACACAATCCAGAGCTATACGAACGCATCATGGTCATGGAATCGCATCTGGAGATGCGCAAGCAAAATGCCGAACTCTGGAGCCATTATGAAAGTAACGTTGTGACATATCTACGTGATACCTGGCATTTGGCCGAACAATTCACTGCCGATGAGATACACACCGTCTGCGGTATTTTAGATGTGAATTGTTTTGAGATTGGCCAAAATTTAGCCAAGGCACGTACCTTATATCCGAGTGCTTTCCTATTGGCTCACGACTGTTGTCCGAATACGTCGCACACCGATGATCCGGAGACGTTTGATATTATATTGCGGACATCGAGGAGTGTGCGGAAGGATGAGGCAATAACGCTGAGTTATGCCTATACTTTGCAGGTAGGGCGAGACTAAGAGGAGGATATGAGAACGACATAAATTTTGAAATTTATTTTCCAGGGTACCCTCAAGCGCCGTGACTTTATGCAGGCTGGCAAATTATTTTGGTGCTGCTGCAAACGCTGTTCGGACCCCTATGAACTGGGCTCGGACTGCAGTGCCATTGTGTGTGACAAATGTCACAAAGGTTTGATTAGATCCACAAATCCCCTAGATCAAGAAGCCGATTGGAAGTAGGTTGGACGCCAAGGCTAAGCTATTCATAAAAAACTGCTAAGATTTGCTACTGCTTTAATTGAATTTGTACCCCTCCCTCACTTTTAAATCAAACCACCCTCTCTCCTCTTTACCCCTCTTTTGCAGATGCGATCAATGTCCATTTGTGTTGCAAAGCCACACCGTTGTAAAGCTCTTGGATAAAATCAACAATGATCTGGATGCCATCGATGCCCATGATATACCGGGACTGGAGAACTTCTTGAAGAGGTAAATTTTAAAAAAATGAAAGAACATGATTTGTAAAAAATCCACGCCTTAAGGTAGGCCACAAAAATGATTTGTAAAAAATCCACGCCTTAAGGTAGGCCACAAAAATGATTTGTAAAAAATCCACGCCTTAAGGTAGGCCACAAAAATGATTTGTAAAAAAAATCCACGCCTTAAGGTAGGCCACAAAAATTATTTTTCGAAAAATCCACTCCTTAAGGTAGGCCACAAAAATGATTTTTCGAAAAATCCACGCCTTAAGGTAGGCCACAAAAATGATTTGTAAAAAATCCACGCCTTAAGGTAGGTCACAAAAATGATTTGTAAAAAATCCACGCCTTATGGTAGGCCACAAAAATGATTTTTCGAAAAATCCACGCCTTAAGGTAGGCCACAAAAATGATTTTTAAAAAATCTACGCCTTGTATTAGGCCACAAAAATAATTTTTAAAATCCATTCCTAATTTGCTACAAATTATATTTTTATTTTTTCTCATAGATACTCTGGAGTCCTGGGACCCAATCACTATCTTTTGCTCTCCGCCAAATATTCACTTTGCCAGTTGTATGGCAAAATTGAGGGTTATCTACTGCCCGAATTGTCGCTGGAGGATTTGCAGAGAAAACTTAATTATTGTCAGGATTTCCTAAAGGTTGTGGATATTTTGGAGCCTCAATTGACCCGGCTGAGAGGTAAGCAAACAAAATTAAAAAAAAAATACAAATATTAAAATAACTTTTTCCCTTCTGCCCTGCAGGCCTCATAATGTATGAGTTACACGCCCCCATGCTTATGCTGGCTCAAAGACAAATGATGCTGCAGTTGTGCACCCGACGGGATTTCAATAAGGCCATCAAGGAGGTGATCTATCTGCTAAAGGAGAGTGCGAAAATTTTGAAAATGGAACCACCCGGCTCGGCGGAACATCAAATGGGTGTGGCCGCTGAGGATGCCTTAGAGAAAATGGGTGTTCAATAGAGTTAAAGAATTTTGAATAGATAAATGTTAAAAATAAAGGAAAAGCGAAATAATTTAAAAAAGTAATGAGAGTAGTAAAGTCGGACGGGTCCGACTATATGATAACCTTCACCACTATGGATATATTAAACAGATGCTTCCGAACACAAGTCGCATTTTGAAAAATCATATATACTTGTAATAACTTCAGTATGTTGTGCAAATTTTGTTCCAAACGACTTAACTTTGGGTCTTTGATGATCCATTGACATTAAGTCGGACGAACATATATATGGGAGCTGTATCTAAATCTGAACCGATTTTCACGAAACTTAACAGACATCACTCTAGGCCCAATTCAGTACGCTACGCCAAATTTCGTGCAAATCGAAAGATATTTAGGGACTTTGGTGCACCATTTACATTAAATCGGTCGAAAATATATATGGGAGCTATATCTAAATCTGAACCGATTTGCCCAAAATTCAACACACATCGTTCTAGGCTTAATTCAGTACGCTATGCCAAATTGTGTGCAAATCAAATGATATATAGGTACTTTGGTGCACAATTTACCTTAAATCGGACGAAAATATATATGTGAGCTATATCTTAATCTGAACCGATTTTCTCGTAACTTAGCACACATCACTCTAGACTAATTGAAGTACGATATGCCAAATTTCGTGCACATCGAAGGATATAAAGATTCTTTGGTTCACCATTTACCTTAAATCGGACAAAAATATATATGGGAGCTATATCAAAATCGGGACCGATTTTCAGGAAACTTAACACACATCATTCTAGTCTTAATTCAGTACGCTGTGCCAAATTTCGTGCAAATCGTAGGATATATAGGGACATTAGGGCACCATTTACATAAAATCGGACAAAAATATATATTAAAGCTATATCTAAATCTGAACCGATTTCCATAAAACTCAGCATACATTATTCTAGACTTAATTGAGTACGCTATGCAAAATTTCGTGCTAATCGAAATATATATAGGGATTTACATAAAATCGGACGAAAATATACATGAGAGCTATATCTACATCTGACCCGATTTTCACAAAACGTCACATACATAGCTCTAGACTCACTTCAGTACGCTATGCCAAATTTTGTGCAAACTGAAGGATATATAGGGACTTTGGTGCACCGTTTATATAAAATCGGACGAAAATATATATGGGATCTATATCTAAATCTAAACCGATTTTCACGAAACTTAGTATACATCATTCTAGGTTTAATTCAGTATGCTTTGCCAAATTTCATTTACCTTAACTCGGACGAAACTATATATGGGAGCTATATAGAAATCTGAACCGATTTGCACGAAACTCAGCACACATCATTCTAGACTTAATTCAGTACGCTATGCCAAATTTCGTGCTAATTGAAAGATATATAGGGACTTTGGTGCACCATTTACATAAAATCGGACAAAACTATATATGGGAGCTATATCTAAATCTGGTCTGATTTTCACGAAACTTAGTATACATCATTCTAGGTTTAATTCAGTATGCTTTGCCAAATTTCGTGCAAATCGAAAGATATATAGGGACTTTGGCACACCGTTTACCTTAAATCGGACGAAAATATATATGGGAGCTATATCTAAATCTGGACCGATTTTCTCGAAACTTGGCAGACATCACTCTAGGCTCAATTCAGTACGCTATGCCAAATTTCGTGTAAATCAAAGGATATATAGGTACTTTGGTGCACTATTTACCTAAAATCGGATGATAATATATATGGGAGCTATATCCAAATCTGAACCGATTTTTTTGAAACTTAACACACGTCATTCAAGACTCAATTCAGTACGCTATGCCAATTTTCGTGCAAATCAAAGGATATATAGGGACTTTGGTGCACCATTTACATAAAATCTGACGAAACTATATATGGGAGCTATATCTAAATCTCAACCGATTTTCACGAAATTTAACACACTTCGTTCTAGATTTAATTTAGTTCGCTATGCCAAATTTCGTCCAAATCGAAAGATATATAGGAACTTTGTTGCCCCATTTACCTTAAATCGGACGAAAATATATATGGGAGCCATATCTAAATCTGAACCGATTTTCACAAAACTTAACACACATCATTATAGACCTAATTCAGTACTTTATGCCAAATTTCGTGCAAATCGAATAATATATAGGGACTTTGGAGACCCATTTATCTTAAATCGGACGAAAATATATCTCGGAGCTATATCTAAATATTAACCGATTTTCACGAAACTTACCACTCATCACTCCAGGCTCAGTTCAGTACGATATGCCAAATTTCGTGCAGATCGAAGGATATATAGGGACTTTGGTGCACCATTTACCTAAAATCGGATGAAAATATGTATGGGAGTTATATCTAAATCTGTACCGATTTTTCCCAATTTGAATAGGGCTTGTTTGACCCCAGGGCGCTGGACCAAATTTCATACAATTCGGATCATAAATGCTACATGTACTTTGTTTACAATTTAACATGGACAGACAGACAGACGGACGGATATGCATAAACCGACTTAGAAAGTGATTCTATGCATATTCTCAAAAGGAACCATGTGTCTATCTCTTTTCCTTTTGCCTCTTACAAACATATCCGCATAGACATAGTACCCTGTACCAAAGTGTGGTGAAGGCTATAAAAATCCACGCCTATTTGTAGGCTTTGACTAGGCATTGAAAAAATAGTTTTAATCAAGTGAAAAAGCGTTAAGTTCGGCCGGTCCGAACTTTGGATACCCTCCACCATAAATATACAGGTACTTGAAATGAAAATATAGGGAACATACCAAAAAATGGACCTATACAGACATTTCTACAAACCGATTATGTAAACAGTAATTTTTAATAGAAAATTATACCTCAGCCTTATTGCTAATTAGTGTGTACACACTTTCACACGGTGAAAATGTGCCTCATAGAAATATTGGTTCTAGACCCCATGTTTCTTGGGACCAAATCCGTTTCAGAAAAATTTGATTTCATCCCTCCTTATTATGTCTTCCAAATTTAGTTGAAGTCCGAATTTGGGGAATTATCTCGATATCCTTCGCAGGTGAAATGATTACAACAGAGTGTTAGAACCAAACCCAAAACGCGGAAAAATCAGATAATTATATTAATATAAAAAATGTGGTTATGTGGGGACTACGCCAAAAAGGGGTTGACTATTAATAACTTTTGTTAGGGAGATTTGTTTCCAAATACGGCTACAAAAATGAAAAACGCGCTCAAGAACCCCAAAATACCGGAATATTGGGGTACCCTTATATGGGAGCTAACAGAAAAAATTGACTTACATTTATAATTTTTAGTGGAGATATTTGGTACCCAATAAGAACCCAATATACCAAATTTCAGCGAATTCGGTTGAGAAACGCGCTCACGAACCGCAAAATACCGAAAAGTGGGGGGTACCCTTATATGGGGGGCTACCAGAAAATGGACCTATATTCATAATTTTTTGTGGAGTGATTTGGAACCTATTTAGAACTCAAAGTACTAAATTACAGCCAATTCGGTGGAAAAATACGACCAAAATACTGAAAATTAGAAGGTACCGTTATATGGGGGCTACCAGAAAAAGTGGACCTATATTTATAATTTTTTATGGTGACATTTAGTACCTAATAAGAATCTAATGTACCAAATTTCAGCGAATTCGGTTGAAAAACGCGCTCAAAAACCGCAAAATACCGAAAATTGGGGGGGTACCCTTATATGAGAGCTATGCCTAAACGTGGACCGATATATCCGATCTTCGAACTTGACCTGCCTGCAGACAAAAGACAACCCTATGTAAAATTTCAGCATCCTATCTCAATTCCTTCAGAAGATAGCATGATTACAACAGACGGACGGACGGACATTGCTAGATCTTCTTAGAATTTTACCCTGATCAAGAATATATTTACTTTATAGGGTCGGAAAAGAATATTTCGATGTGTTACAAACGGAATGACAAAATTAATATACCCTCCATACTATGGTGGAGGGTATAAAAATCCAAGTCAAGAACAGGCATTGAAAACATATTTTGTTTGGTCAATAAATCCGAAAAAATTCACATATGTTTATAATTTTTTGTGGAGAGATTTGGTACATATTAAGAACTCGAAATACTAAATTATAGCCAATTCGGTGAAAAAATACAATCAAAACCCCCAAAATACTGAAAATTAGGAGGTACCGTTATATGGGGGCTACCAGAAAAAGTGGACCTATATTTATAATTTTTTGTGGGGACATTAAGTACCCAATAAGAACCCAATGTACCAAATTTCAGCGTATTCGGTTGAAAAACGCGCCCAAGAACCTCAAAATACCGAAAATTGGGGGGTACTGTTATATGGGAACTATGTCTAAACGTGGACCGATATATCCTATCTTCGAACTTGAGCTGCCTGCAGACAAAAGACAACCCTATGCAAAATTTCAGCATCCAATCTCAATTCCTTCAGAAGATAGCGTGATTACAACAGACGGACGGACGGACAGACGGACGGACGGACGGACATGGCTAGATCGTCTTAGAATTTTACCCTGATCAAGAATATATATACTTTATAGGGTCGGAAATGAATATTTCGATGAGTTACAAACGGAATGACAAAATTAATATACCCTCCATACTATGGTGGAGGGTATAAAAAGGGGGTTATATGGGGACTACCCCAAAAAGGGGGTGAATATTAAAAATTTTTGGTAGAGAGATTTGTTACCATATACGACTACAAATTACCAAATTGCAGCAAATTCGGTTGAAAAATGCGCTCAAGAACCCCCAAATACCGAAAATTGGGGGTACCCTTATATGGGGGCTATCCGAAAAAATGGACCAATATTCATAATTTTTGGTGGAGAGATTTGGAACCTATTAGGAACCCAATGTACCAAATTTCAGCGTATTCGGTTGAAAAACGCGCTCAAGAACCCCAAAATTCCGAAAATTGGGGGGTACCCTTATATGGGGGATATCCGAAAAAA